CACACACACACACACACACACACACACACACACACACACACACACACCACGCGCACAAAAAAAGAAATAAAAAACCTCTAAGGCTAAATTTCAGTTTTAAAGTCTTTAAAAACAAATTGTTCACTAATAAAATTCAATTATTACAAAACTGAGCATAACTTATAACTTTATCTTTTGCTAATGAGCTAGACAACAAACCAATTTTAATGAAGTGTTTACTTTTAATCTGTGCTGAGTCAATGGCAGTGCCATGACTGCGGCAGTCTGCGGAGGCCTGCAGGGAAGCCTGCAGGGCAGAAGCTTTGGCACACAAAGTGCAAAGGCAGAACAGTAGGTTCTAACCTGGATCAAAACAGTCATGACAGGCTGTGAAGGCAGAGCAAAGCAGTGCTCCACCAAAGACATTGCTGCTGCCCTTCCTCCTCTTACTGTCCCAGCCCTTTTACCTCCATGCACTTATTCTGTTCTGCTGCTCTCTGTGACCAAGGGAAGAGGGCACTGGCCATGCAAATCATTCCACACCACCACCTCCGTCTACCTCAAGAGTTCCTGACCCTTCTCATGCTGTGCTCAGATGCTGTTTCTTATCCACAGTGCGCTTGTAAAGCAACATAGATTTTGAATTACCATTCTGCTTGTATTTCATTTTAAATATCTTTTCTCCAGACCTCAAAACTCTGTCAAACATCTGTACTCTAGGTCTTGTGGAAATGTTTCTGACAGAGCAGGGCCTGCGTGACACTGGCAGTCACAGCCTCTCTTTTGAGTTTTGGGTGTTAGGTCTCCCATCTCTCTTAGTTTATTTGCCCTCTTTCTCTTCTGTTTCCTTGCACTTCCTTCTTCCCCTTTTGCTATTAGCTTTAACAGACTACAATCTTAATCTCCTGCCTGGGAGAGACAGCCTTGGTAACAACACTAAGTCTTTGTATGGGAAACTTTGTGATTTCACAACAAATTTCCATCATTCTCATCATTATTTCAGCAGCTGGTGAAAGGTTGAAGAGTCAGATGTAATAGACAAGAAGTCAGAAGAGTGGCTGGGTGGTTGGGGAGTCTCAAATGCTGGGGTTACAGGCACAAACCACCACATTCTGCTCTGCTTTTTACTGTTTAAGTCATTTTCTTTGGTACACGTCCCACTTTAAAATCTGTAACACGGTCCAAGTTTCCAAAAGGTCACTTGGATGGACAATTTCATGTACACACATAACATTGTCCTTTGGGAAATCCACAAAATGATCTTCCCAGGAAAAATCACAAAACAAACTAGAATGGGAGACTTTGATAGTTACTCGTCAGATACTTCAATGTACATTTGGTGCTGATATTTAGTTGACCTGATAAAGTATTAAGAACAAAACAGTAACATGGCTAGTATACAATGTCTGTTTCTTGGCTTAGTCCAGATCCAGCATTTACTAATTAAATAGGCAGAAAAATGATAAAGTACAATGCAAAACAGGAGAAATACTTTGAAACTTTCCGTATTTCCTCACCAGCCTAATGGGCTAAATGAAGTTTAAACCTGCTTTCTTCCTAACAGTAAAAAATTAACCAAACCATTTGATTAAATAATTCAACAAGGACAGAAGGTCAATAAAAAATGCTAACTCTACTGAGATGGAAGAAACATCCTGGATTGGCTATGGATGTTACTATTAGTTACTAGTGTTATTTGGAAAAACAGGGTTACTTTTAGGTCTTGAGAGCTTCAGACTCACCTCACCAGGTTATCGATGAAGTTCACAACATTTTCTCTGAGTATTTCAAACTTGGTTTGCTTCTTAGTTGTTCTCCTTAATTCCTTCATTTCCAATAAGGACTATAGGGCACAGTGGGGAATGGGTAAACAAACATGCTATTTTTGGTGAGTTTAGGACAGAAACACTTTCAGAGAGAGCTGTCACTCAAGTAAAGATGCCCTTATGCCGAGTACAAAGAACCAGATCAAAAGGTGTTTTATTTTCTGTTAAGTCTCTGCCCTCTACATGTTCTGCTTTAAACATATACCAAGGAAAGAAGAGAGCAGTTTACTCCACTGCTCAGGGTCACAAGAGTGCTCACTATTTAGAAACCATTAGTTCATTTACGAGCATGAGGGAGCATGCCAGGAACAAAACACCATCCATTACCTCCACAGCTTTGGGTCACATTAACAACAGATTCTGTGAATTTAGTTTTTAGTTTTTACCCAGATTGAAATATGATGCTACATTTATAACTTAGTAGTATGGTACAAAGAAGGGTCTTCATTTGACAACCGAGGGCTGAAAGTGCAGTATCTGAGAAAAACAACAGACTGCGGCTCAGTTTTTTTTCTTTTGAATGGTAATTCAAAAAGAAAAAAACCTGAGATTGTAGTTCAGTGGTAGGGTTTTAGCCAGTGAAGACATCCTGGGTTCGGTTTCTGCATTATAAGTAGGTGTGTGTGTGTGTGTGTGTGTGTGTGTGTGTGTGTGTGTGTGGTGTGTGAAGAAAATTGGCTCTTGACTCTCGGCTCAAAAAGAGAAGTAAGTACATTATATCTACATATCCGTTTTTCTAAAAAAAAATTATTTATTTGTTTGTTTATTTATTTATTATGTATACATAATAAATATGTGAGCCACCATATCGTTGCTGGGAATTGAACTCAGGACCTTTGGAAGAGCAGGCAAAGCTCTTAACCACTGAGCCATCTTTCCAGCCCCTACCTACATATTCTTTTTGTAAACCATAGACCTATTTTTTTTCTTACAGTTAATATTGTTTTCTTCCTTGAGGCTTCAGGAATGGTTTCTATATTACCTAGTAGACTGTAGACTGTGTGCATATGTACAATCTAGGATGACAGTGAGACAAACAGTATGACAGTACAGAATGCAATCTGCCTCTCGGTGGAGACAGGTGCCTGTTTTCTTACACAGGTCAAGGGTCCAGCAGGGTGGCACTCCTAGTGAGGCTGGTTCATGTACATTAAGAAAATGTGGGTTTCCTTTGCAGCATTCCTAACATCTAGTTACTAAAGAACCTCCACGACCTTTGGCTGGGCCAGTCTTTCTGAATATTGCATCAGGCATACTTATTCCTTTTTCTTTTGCATGCTGGCCAGACCCTAAGTATGCTTTTTAACTTCCTAACCCTTCCTTCATATTCTCCCTGCTCCGTGGCTGCCTGCTTATTCTTCCTATTTTTGTTCTCTGGACCACTGCTAATTTTTTTTTTCATTAATAAGAGAAAGGATCCCAAAAAAGGACCTCAATTTCCCTGGTATTGTATGATGGTTCCTCAAGATTTTCTGTAATACTCTTTCTCTGCCTTCTAATTCTTCAGTAAGCACAGAAAACCACATCTTGCAGTTTATATGGCATCAATATGTCTCCTTTATCAGTTGCAAAGTTACTGGTTGTGATGTAAAAAATGAAAGTGAAGACATTCTAGCAGAGTTAGTCTAGACCAGATGAAACAACGGCACCACTCCTAATGCAGCTGGAAGGAAAAGAAAGATACCTAACCTTCTGAAGGTGATAGAGGTCTGTTTTCTGCAGCCCCTTTGGCTGTGATCCACAAGCATCCTCTTCCTCTTTGCTATCTGCTTTGAATACAAAACCAATATACAATAGAGGGAACAAACATTTACCCTAATTCAATGGAAGTAAAAGTTACACTTTTCTTTTAAACATGGACAAGATTCTATCAGACAAATGACACTCCAAAACTAGAAGCACTACATAGTACATAGTTTAGATGTCAGTAAGGTCTTCAACTACTAGCTACTGAATTCTGAATGTGTTTTGAACCAACAAATCAAAAGCCTGCATAAATATCTTTAAAAAAATCATTCAAACTTGAAACTATGTCTCTTTGACCTCGCTAAGATTGTAAACATGGTAAGCTACATTCTGACAAACCTAGTCTCAACCTTGCAATTTAATTACTGTTCAGCATGAGGAAGGTAATGTAAGAGCTATAAACTCAGTTTGATAACTGATAAAATGTATAACTATGCTTCTGCAGGGGATGACACTCTGATTTGGTAACCTGACACTTGGCAATGGTCTGCTTCATGTATGGCTGAAGAATTTAGCTAAACACTCTCTCTCTCTCTCTCTCTCTCTCTCTCTCTCTCTCTCTCTCTTAAAGAATCAGAAGATAATCCTTGATTTTAGAAATGCTAAGGTTAAGATAACTACTAGCTAAATTCTTTTCCCCATTTTACTAACTTGTAGCAGAATCTTAAAAGTGATTGTAACACCCAGCCTGATTTAATGCCCTCACCCCATTTAAATCCCAATTATAATATGCCATTAGTGTACAAAAAACCAGAGGTGAAAAATAAACAAATATTTCTTCCTGTGAGAAATGTTGAGTGTATTTTGTTATTAAGAATTGACTTTTAAAAACTGAGAAATAGATAAATCACCAGGAGGGTGGTTTTGCTTTAACTCAAAAACCACTTTATTTTTTATACTGTTGTCAATCATTTTAATCTTTAATTTTCCATTTCAGAAGCTGTGATCCTTCAGTGCGAGTGTAACAAACGATCTGTTTACTAATTCATCTCACACAAATTCTAATTAAAATTATTATGGTATCATGATATCAGTTTCTTCTTAGAGAATTTCTGAGTCCAATTTATTTTATATCCTTCTATACTTTTGGCGATACTTATATTCTTAATAATGGCTTCTTCTCATTGGTGAAACTACAATTATGAACTGATCTCTCTCTCTCTCTCTCTCTCTCTCTCTCTCTCTCTCTCTCTCTGTGCGTGTGTTCTCTCTCTCACTCACTCACTCACACACACACACACACACACACACACACACACTGACCTGGAGGCCAAGAAAGGTGGGTTAAAGTTTGGTACATATTAGATAGCCGTGAAATAGCTTACTTTTTCTTCCTAAATTTCAGTTTCTAATATCTGAAATGATCTTAATTTCTAAAATTTTTACTTTTGTAAAGTGTTTCAGGTCATTGTCATGGTGTTAAAAGATTACCACCACACATATTTTGGAGGGAAGTCTTCTTAGCACCTTTGTATAATTGCCTACCTTGCCTGTTTGTACCAAACCACTTTGATCTTTTACAATTGAGTTCTCATCAGAGACCAGCCTGCATAAAAGTTACAGGGAAGATTCCCACAAAAAAGTTTCCTTAGAAAAGGGAACTTCTCATAAAAAGGAGTTTAAAGACAAATAATCAACTACCAAACACAGAAGGGATTCAAACTGCAAAGTATTTTCGAGATGCCATATCTCATTCTATTGCTTATGTATCAATCAAGCCTCTTTCCTTGGCCCTATCCCAACACCCCCTAGATCAGAGTATAAAATGGCCTAGCTGAAGAATGAACTGTCTCCAGGCATTCTACCCAATTTCATCTGAAGAACAAAAATGTTCTCCCTCCATTTAATTTTCTGCATTGTTTAAAACAAATCTAGAGAAGAAGCACTTTGCATATTTGTGGTTGCTGAGATGTGACATTCTGAGCCTTGCCTGCCGGCTGATCTTGAAGAGTTTCAATGCCATGCTGGTTAAAACCTGTCATGCCAGCAAGAATGGGCAGTGTTTTACACTTACTTACCATCAAGGTTCTGAAACTGGCTCAGGAAATCCTTTATTTTTTGTGTTGTGCTGCCAAGCTGCTTTTCAGTACAGGAACTCAAAACCTCACAGCATTTCTCAAGTGTGCTCATCAGTTCGTCCTTTGCCAGCATTCTACAAAACAACCAGTGCAGAGCTAATATAACTAAAACATTAGCACACCTAAAACCTTTTCTACAGATGAAATGGTTTTGTTCAATATGTTACATTTAGAAGTATAGAATTATAACAATATGCTTAGCTGAGGGAGTATCCAAAGGTTTGTGTTTATAACCTGGTTCTGATACTGTAAGAACAAGTTCCTTATATCTGGTCTTTGGTATCCTTATCTGTAAATCGGAACAACACGTCACTGTATTACATGGCAACCTCCAAACTGAAACATTCCCTTCTGGGTGGAGGCTCAGGAAATAAATGAAGCCTACAATTCTTGAGCAGAAAATACAAGTCATGGGTTCCAGAAACTTACAAAACAAACAGTATGTATGAACTTGAATGTATATAGTAAAGCAATTAGTTTATCAAAATGTCTAAGCTACAATGGGTAAAATCAGATGGTGGCACTGATTTAGATAGTAATAACATGCCAACAGAAAAGGAAAAACATTCAAAAAGAGATCAAGGAATACATGGAGGTTATGTATATATCAGAGATAGCATTTCAAATCACTGGGGAAGATATGCTAGGTGTCAGAAAGCTACAGAGCACTACTTCCCATTATATACACAAGTCTATTCTGACAGATGAAAAATGTATGCTTTGGGAACAGGGAAGAAACAGCTCATCCCAGAAGAAGCAAAGATGCTAAAGCCAAACAAAACCATTTGTGAAGAAGCAGACATACTGTTAGCACCATGTGCCCTGGGCAAATCAACTTTATAGTTTACTTTCAGAAAGGCTACATCCATGTATTCATTTTGTGGAAATAATTACACAAATGTATAAACACACATGCTTGTCACTAATAGTTGTAATAATGAAGAATTAAGAACAACCTAAATATATATCAAGTAATTAAATTCCTGATTAAATTAGACGCATTCCCAAATGCAGGATATTTGAAATAATGAAGTGGGACAACATACAGGCTAATAATGCCAACTTACACATACACATGCGTATCATGTCACGAAACAATACTCTGTGAGACACTATTATTATTCCCATATTAGATACAAGGAAATGGAGGCACAGAGAATTTAAGTAACTTGTTCAATGCCCCAAAACTAGTCACTGACAAGCTGAATTTTGAACTTAGAGGGGGCAGAATGAATAAAAATTCCTCCTTATCTGCTCCAGGCTGACATTTCAAGCTTGCTTCACCAGAGCCAGCACCACGCATGCTCTGCCTGATCGTACACACTGTAGCTCAGAACACTGTCCATGCTAGGGCAGCCATGCACCCGCTCTGAACTACATGCAAAAAGTTAATTGTTACAGAAAATGAAAGCACAATAAAAAGATAACCACAGCAGACAAATGGGTTTCCATTTTAAATTGATCAAGTGATAAATATATACAGGACGATGGGGAGTGAGCTACATTAATATTTAGAGAAAGTGTTTTTGTGGTAGATAAACCACATGGTACACATGGCATGTCTGGCAAAGGTAAGGCCATGGAGACAATGGTGATGAAGATGCAGTCATAAAGAAGCAATATAGCTGGGAACAGAAAGACCACTGCAAAAACTAAATCTTTTACTCTGCATGAAACGAAGAGAACTAATGGTCTTAAAAACAAACAAAAGACAAAAATAGAAAATTGTCATATTTTCAAAAGATATTCTGACATCCAAAAGAAATATGTATGAAATCAGGAAAACAAAGGTTCTTTTGGTTGGAAAACCTGAAGGATACAGAAAGATGGTAGGTTTCAGGGGGCTGAATCAGGATTTCAGTTTCATATATGTAAACTCTGAGATACGTTCTGTGGATCCCACAAGACTGAGAAAGCGTTAGAGAAGCTTGGGAGGAGCATGCACCGAAGTCCTAAAAGCCATTAAATAAGAACTGAAGTGAAGTTCAGAGAGCATACAGGTCATGGGTAACTTGCATAAAGCCAGTTTAGATGACCAGAAAAGCCTCACTGTAAATGAGTTTGAGAGTGAATATCTTTCTTATATACTACTTTCACTAACAATAACAACAAAAAAGCCCCCATATTTTTAATAAAAACTGAAAACATAAATTCATCTCTTTATCTGTTTCTAGTTGAATGGATGAATTCAATCCAGTTTTGGAAAAAATTAATTTGAAATCAATATCTACAGTCATCCAACTTCTCCATGACTGGAAGTAATTCTTCCTTTTTTGCTTTTTCCCCCTTCAGGAAACTTTTATTCCTTCTATTTCCTAGGACATTTAATATGGCTCCTTGTCGTCTGACTATGCTACTCCTTTTTGTTTTTGTTTTGTTTTTTGAGACAGGGTTTCTCTGTGTAACTTGGTGCCTGTCCTGGAACTAGCTCTTGTAGACCAGGCTGGCCTCAAACTCATAGAGATCTGCCTGCCTCTGTCTCCCGAGTGCTGGGATTAAAGGTGTGCACCATGGCCACCCAGATGATTATCCTGTTCTTGTGACTACCTATATTCACTTACTATTGCTTTAACAAAATACCCAAAAAGAGAGCACTTTTTTTTTTTTAAAGGAAGTAGGTTTATTTGGCTCATGGTTTGGGAGGATAAAAGTCCAAAATTGGATAAATAGTTCCACTGGTTAGGTATCTGATGCCTTGGATGGCATCAGAAAAGAGAGTACCTGGGGAGTGGGGGAGAGAGATCACTTGGCTATGAGAAGAAGTCAGAGAATGGGGAGGGGGAGTTGTTTTGGGTGACAACTCATTTTCACAACCAATTTACACCATGAGATCAACAGTAATTCTCAGAACAGTACCCTACCAATTTAATTACTTGGAACATCTTAATTAACCTACATCTTAACAGTCTGACCACAGTTTAATAATTCCACAGTGAAGAGCAAGCTTCCAACATAAGAATCTTTGAAGGCTGATCTAAACCCAAGACAAAGTTTTACAGCATTTGTATGCTCAAGTATTAGCACAATCTTTGAGATGACAGAAATCTACAGTTAATACACCTCAGATGATTCTTATATACATTAAAGCTTGAAACCACTAAAGAAATAGTGGCTCAAAATCTCTTAAATACAGCTTCTTGTCTGACTTCATGCTAAGCCTATAAATGTCTATAGAGAATCTAACATGATGCAATTTCAGATCCAAGAATCTCTATACTAAAACACTGAAATGATATTTTGGTGCTTATAGTCTCAGATAGTGCCTACGTCAATAAATCTAACATACTGTAGGTTAGCTTATTCTTTAGGAAGTGTTTAATTATCACCTAATGTGGAAATGGAGAGTTAAGAAACTACATTTACATGTCAAATTTGTAGTCTCTAGGAACTAAGTTGAGGTGATGAAAAATATAATCAGAATATTTTTTGCTCTTTAATTCAATGAAAGCTGAGCTTACATGCTCATATGTTGATATTTGTACTGGCTAGTGTTTGTCAACCTGAACAAGTTATTAGAGAGGAAGAAACCTCAATTAAGAAAATGCCTCCATAAAATCTGATGATAGGCAAGCCTTAGGGCACTTTCTTAATCAGAGATGGCACAGAGGTTAAGAGCACTGGCTGCTCTTCCAGAGGTCCTGAGTTCAATTCCCAGCAACCAGATCGTGGTTCAGAATCATCTGTAATGAGATCTGGTGCCCTCTTCTGGTGTGTAGGCATGTAGGCAGAATATTGCATATGTAATAAATAAATCTTAAAAAAAATAAAGATGACACACCTAAACACGATACATTTTTTTTTTACTGTACTCTTTCTGGAATGTACAGATTTTTAATGTGCTAGATTTTTAAGATTGACATTTAAATTCGTGCTCGTAAACTAGGAAAATATTAATGTTTTTCAGACTTTTCTCAAAAAGCAAAATAGTAAACTATTTTTTACTCTGTATCTCTGATGTTTTGTACATACCTACAGTGTCAACAGGAGGAAAGACATTTATTCCAACACTGCAGGCTTCTACCTCACTTTCTTTTTATGGTGGTGACACTTTTACATGTCTTTGCTAAAACTGCTGTATCGGATCATCAAGGCTTTTAAGCTCAACTTAATTAAAGGATAGAAACTATACTTGGTATTTATCATTTTTGCTTTATTTATATCCCTAATCTTGTACTTTAGAACCTGGCAAATAAAAGCTCAAAGTACTGAGAGCTCTTAAGTGAGATCTCAATTATGATCCTATCAGCAGTAAAGTGATCTCATGCAAGTCACCAAATCTCTAGCTATGCTTCAGATTCCTCAGGGAAAGTACTGATACACCAGAAAGGTGTACTAGACTATGCTAGTGTACTAGACTGTAAAATGTACTGTGCGCCTAAGTCAGTACCTGGCACACAGCAGGCCTTCAATAAATGGTGGTTACTATTGCCACCATTACTTTTGTGATCAAGATACTATATGGTACTAGACTGACATTTATGATCCCTGACTGGATTCCAAGGTTAGCTGACCCAGGATACAAGTTCCTCCCAGATAAATAAACTTACGCATTTGGGAATAGTTAACAAGAGAAGGAAGATAGATACTAGTCATACAATTGCAACACAAAGAATTAATTAGCTAGGGTGCTGGGGAGATGGCTTGGAGGGTAAAGGTGCTTGCCACCTGGCAATGCAAGCTTAGCTCACTGCATTCTCTGGACTCCACATAAAAGCAGAACTAAATTTATAAATCTATCAGCTTTTACATATGAATCCACATGTGCACACAAGATGGGAGAGAGAAAATCAACTGGCTAGTTAAGATATTACTGGGACAGAAAGCAAAGTCCCAAAAATATTCTATTTTAAAGTTTATAAATATACAGTTTACTGACAAAAACTATGAAATAAAAAGTAGTGCTGGGCACAGTGTCACTCGCCTTTAATCCCAGCACTCGGGACACAGAGGCAGGTGCATGGCTTCCCTGGTCTATCTAGCAAGTTTTAGGCCAGTCATGGCTACAAAGTGAGAGCACATCTCAAAAACAAACCAACAAAAAACAACAACAAATCTTTTCAGTGGAAGTAAAATTTCTTTGGGGACTAATTTTTCCAGACAGCAAGAAATTTCAGTATTATAGTTCTATGGCACCCATATATCAAAATAATTGTATTACTGTTTTGAACTTGATGGTTTGAATGAACTCATATATTTGAACACGTGGTTCCAGTTGGTGGTGCTGTTTGAGGAAGTCCAGGAGCTCAGCTTTGTTGGAGAAAATGCAGCACTGGAAGCCGACTGAGGTTCAAGGGCTACTGCCATCCTGAGTGCTCTCTCTCTACTGTGGCTCAAGAAGCCTGCTACCTGCTGCCATGATGCCTTGCCACCACCACAACCACACCTCTGGAGCCGAGAGCCTAAGTCTTTTACAAGCTGCCTGACCACGGTGTTGTACCACATTATAAAAAAATAGGTTATGAACTTCCTACTGTGCCCATCTATTCTGTTCTTCTGGGTCTGGAGGGAATGAGGACTATAGCTAAATCTAGTTAGCAGACTTCTTTATAATATGTTCACGATACTAGGTATGGTGTGTTCACTGTCAGAGGCATGAGTATTCTGAGTTCAAGGCTGACCTGAGCTACACAGTGAGTCGCTGTCTCAAAACAAAACAACAAAAATAGTATGTACACATAAGCAACTGTACCTACTGAGGAAAGTTTAGGCCTTGTATGGGAACCCACTTTACATTTTAGTCCCCTTTCTCACTACTGAAATCAGCATTACTCGTAAGTGTGTGGTGCATGCATGTGGTGGCTTGAGTGACAATGGTCCCCAAGGCTCATATATGTGAATGCTTGGTCACCAGGGAGTGGAACTCTATGAAAGGATTATAATAATTAGGAGGTGTGGCCTTCTTTGAGAAAGCCTGTCACTGGGGATGGGTTTGAGGTTTCAAAACACCTTGGCAGGCCTAGGCTCTCTCTCTCTCTCTCTCTCTCTCTCTCTCTCTCTCTGTTTGGGGATCTGGATGTCACTCTCAGGGATCGCTAGAGCACCTGCCTGCATGATGCCATGCTCTCTGCCATGAAGATAATGTAGTAACCCTCTAACACTGTAAGCAAGCTCCCAATTAAATTCTTTCAAAACAGTTGCCATGGTCACGGAGTCTTTTCAGAGCAACAGAACAGTGATTAAGACAGTGTACATGAGTGTATGGGTATGTACACACATGTGTGTACATGCAGAATGATACCAGTTGTCCTCTCCTGTTTTCCACTTTTTTCAATTTACATTTTCTAATTTGTGTTTGTGCATATGTGCATGTTACAACACATGTGTGGAGGCCAGGTGACAACTTAGCATTAGTTCACTCCTTCTACTACGTGGGTACTAGTGACTGGCTCAGGCTGCGATGCTTTGCGGAATCAGTCACCAGACCCCCCCCCCCCCACACCTTTTTTGAAGACAGGGTCTCTTACGGAACCAGAAACCTGAGGTTTTTGTTAGGCTAGCTCACCAGTGGGCTTTCAGCCACCATGGAATCTGAATTCAAGATCTCTTCAAGACCAGCAAGCACTAGTCACCTCTCAAGCCCCTAACTTTGTTAGGTTTTAACACTTGTGGAAATTGAGTCATAAGAAAATCAAGATTTACTTAAAACTGTTTGGAAAGTGAAAATTATAACACTGGCAAGACCTTCCTTTGGGGTTCAGCACCCAAACCTTGGAGGCCTACTCAAAAAGGTTAAGAGGGTCAGAAAGAACAGCCTATATTGTGCTCCTTGCTCATAAAGCTCAGCCAGCAACTAACGGATGACGGGACTCCTTTAGTAAGTCATCTGTCATCTTGATTAGTGGCCACAAAATCTCTACTGTACACCCCAGAGGGAGACTAATGAGTGCATGTGGACAAATCCTACCCATATGGCTCCAGATGGAGCTACGTGGTCAGCATGGAGCTACATGACCATGATCCATTCCTACAGGGAAAACTAAAGGAGACTGCTGACTTTAAAATAAAAAAAAGATACAGGATACCTATATAGTCTTAAATATAACATATTAAACAATTTTGCCAGTCTTATCATGTATGTCAAATTACAGAAGGTTACTGACTTGACTTGTCCAATATTAAACCCTATTTTCCAGGAAATACTCAAAATGAGAAGCAAGAGAGACCCAATGAAAGAGCAAATCAACTGAGTATTTACACTTTCTCTGCAAAAGATGCCCCATAGATAAACTTCAGATAGGTACCTATGCCAATCAAGCAAAGCCTTTATTGAACACTCCCTATTCTCCTTAAATAGCTATTCAGAAGTGCCTCTTTCAAAATTCAACAAACTGTTTCTGAGACATTGTAGCCTGCACTGGATGTGACTGCTTGTGTCTTCTGTCCTTGTTCATTTATAATTGATGTCTTCCAAATTTCAATCCCTAAAACTTCATAATGCTAATAACTAAATGATGCTTACCCTTCATAATGCTAACTACGGGATGCCGACCCTTGACCCCATGACCAGCATGGTCTCCTTCTACCAGGGGCAGTTGATATATCTGTCTAAAGTAGTGAATGCTTTACGTCCCTGTTTTCCAAACTTAGTGTGAGCCCTAAACTCCCTCACTGTCTCTATTTGGTGCCAAAGCAGCTAAGATCAGTTGTGATCCTATATCACAAAAAATTGGGTCCAAGACTCTGAAAAGAAAATGTCAATATAAAAAATAAATGTGCAGCTGGGTGGTGGTAGCACACGCCTTTGATTCCAGCACTCGGGAGGCAGAGGCAGGCTGATCTCTGTGAGTTCGAGGCCAGACTGGTCTACAAGATTTAGTGTCAAAACAGAAATCACAGTTACACAGAGAAACCCTGTCTTGAAAAACAAAAGTAAATAAATAAATAAATGTGCAAAATGAAATACATTTAAGTGTTAAAGGTAAACAAAAGATCTCAAAGCTGGTTATGTATTAACTAGCCAAATTAAAAAGATTAAAGAAAAGCAGAGCTCTAAAAAATGAAATCTTTACTGCTAACCAATTTTGGTTATATCTGGCACCAAACCAATAGATTTAAATGGTTTAAAATGAGCCAGTTAAGGTCCAAATTTAAAGCACATTAAGCTGGTAAACTGTTCAACGCTATTGGGGCTCAGAAGCTGCTCTGGAAGCACAGACTCCAGAAGACACACACAATGAAGTGAGAAATAGAAGATTGCTGCATTAATCACATTATTACCACCAGAGACTGCACACAGAAAGTCAAAAGGCTTTCAAATATTCTTAGGTACAACAGGCCATGTAGGAAACTTTTGGGCAGACAGAATTCTGGAGGAAGGTGTTACTTACTGGCAGGCCTAATGCAGACAAAAAAAGGAACAAAACCAAAAGATTACCTCAGCAGCTGCAAGGCTGACGTGTACTCCTCGGAATCCCATACATTATCTTCCAGACATGTGCAATATAGCTCCCTCATCTATAAATGAAAGATAGGATTTATGAGGAATAAAACTCACCCACTAAGTTTATAGCCTAGTAGTTAGGAGGCAAAATACACATAGCAAACAAAATATGATAGTATTAATAAAAAATACTTCACTAAATTGTAAGAGATTTCTTAGTATATATTTCACTACAAGAGACTTCTTGGCATATATTGGCTCAGATACTACAAAAATATAAAAGTCAGATGAAATTGTACTGGGAGTGGCTGACACCAGTCACTTATATATCATTAAAGTTGGAATAAATGGCTGATTGAAGATTTAATAGCTAAGTTAGCAGAAATTCCCACAGGTAATTCCTCGATTTGATCTCTTAAACTCTCAGTTAAAGATCTAAAAATTAAGTATTCTACTCACATGCATTCTCCACATGGTTCATAAGTTTGGGGTATAATACAAGGTCAGCTGAGCAGAAGTACTGTGTTTTAATTCTTGGTAAAATGCAAGGTGAACCACTAAATTATTATTATTAAATAAATTTGAAACAGATTCTACCTCTCAAACTAACTCTCCCTGTGCACACGACAAATGAAGTGCCACAGTTGTGTTAGCAAGGTTACATGCTACAGCACAAATGCAGAGGAGATGAGCCACTGGGATCCACGTGGCTATTTCTAGCTATGACTTTTAGGAAGAAAACAAAGCAAAAGAAACAAACAAACAAACAAAAACCCAATTTCTATTATTAGTAATGTAATAAGCTGGAATAGATTGTGTCTTATTATAAGAATTGGCTTCATTTCAAATTCCAATGCCTAAGTGTTAGAGAAATCAAAACAAGAAAGTACTATTATTCCTACGTTGTTGACTCCAAATGAAGAAATTTTATACCTGCCGACCCAGTGGATACTTGGGAAGACAAGAGGTAAAATTATGAAGACATCTCAAAACAAGGAAGTAATTCATATGATAAACATGCAAGTTTTCCAGTAATAATTGAGTTTCTTCCTAAAAAAACAAAACAAAACAGAGTACACTAATAATATGCAAGGCAGTAAAATAAAATTTAAACATTTATGGATACATACTTCCTAGAAAATGAATGAGTGTTTAGAACTATGAATTACTTTTCTTAATTCATGGAAAGTTGACATATATATCAAATTCAGGACACAGTCTAGGCAATTTTTTAGTACCAAATCTGGCTATATTTTACACATATCAGGACTGTATTCTGATGTAATTCAGCATCTATCCTGAAATCTACCCCACCAATTACACACTTATAGTAGAGCATTTTTATCCTCTGTCTGCCACTATTAAGCAGCTGGTGTGTACTACAAGGGAGTGCCACAATTCTCCTCAGTGTCACTGACAGCATACTGCCGTAGTTCTGGCCAACAGTTCAATTGAGAGCTCCTTTGTGAATTTATCTGTGACATTCCTGTGGTCCATAGCAAACACAGCGCAGACCACTCACTGCTTATAACCCAACCATAAAAGGACCTTATTCTAGAAGAGTAAGGGAAAGGGGAGTGCAATAAATAAGCCAGGCTCTTTAAAATCTTGCATCAGGCCGGGCAGTGGTGGCGCACACCTTTAATTCCTGCACTTGGGAGGCAGAGGCAGGAGGATCTCTGTGAGTTCAAGGCCAGCCTGGTCTATAAGAGCTAGTTCCAGGACAGGCTCCAAAGCTACAGAGAAACCCTGTCTCAAAAAAAGCCAAAAAAAAAAAAAAAAAAAAAGAAAAGAAAAAAAGAAAAAGCAAAAAACCTTGCATTAACGCCAAAGGAAAGAAGCAGAAGAAAAGGCCAAAGCATACAGTTGTGACGCAGGCACACTCATTCAACAGCTCCCAGTCTGTCCTCTGAGCTGTAGGATGGCTGCTTCTGCAGTGACAGGAGTTGAAGTGAAGATGATTGCTGAAGACAACATATCATTCAATCACTGCATTAGGAGAAATTAAGCTGGTCCTGAGCTGCAATCCTTCTTCCTGAGGGTTAGCTCTCAGTGTATTGGAAGTTGCCAATGGAGAAAGGTTATTAAAAGTCCTACCTCGCTGGAGAAGCTGCAAAGCATTGGCCCAGCAAGATATCCCCAATGCTGCAATATTGGCACGTATATCTTGTGGGAAATAAACTAACTGGACTTACAGTACTCAATAGAAGGAAAGTCATGCCTGGTACTGTTAGCCTAGCCAAGAATCTGTGGCTGCAGAGGTCATAGCTCCGTTGTAAGTAGAGTGGTATTTGGGTCACAGACCCAGGAAGAGAACCTGTCACTTCCATTGGTAGTTTCCAATTCCTTCTAAATATTAATCCATATACTCAAACGTAAGTGCAGCTCTTGGTGCTCATCAAAGAAGTTTCTTTCTGCCATAGGTGGAGATTACTATAGAGATCTGCCAGACTGAAATACAGACTATAGATGGTCTTCACTCAAACGGATCATCGGTAACACAATCCATTATATTACCACAAAAGAGGTTGCATGCATGAACTTTCAAAAATATGACTGCCTACACATGATCTGCCTGAGGCTACATAAGTCAGTATGACTATATGGATGGGAAGAGTACATAAGACTTACGGACAAGGGCTGCTGGGGTAGAATCAGTTTTCCTCAGGATCAAGACCCAAACAGGTTGTCCAGCTATAAATACACGTATATATGGGCCATACTAATTGACCATAATAATAATGATAGACATTGTAATTTTTTGATTTCTAGTACTTTTTTTCCATTATGAACTGTGATGTGAATGTATAAGCACATAAAGCCCTTCCCTCCCCAAGCTGCTGTTAGTAATGGTGCCCAATCAAAGCGATAGAAACCTAAACTATAGTACCAGTATACATTAACATGTACAATTATTTGCTTTAGAATGTCATTTTAACACTTATTGTCATATTTATATTCACCTTTAATCATATTCTTCTCCCCAATGGTCCCTTCCTGCTCCAAAATGGATCCTACTTGCATGTTATTGCTGTTGCTTTTAATCTGGATTCCACACATGAGGGAAATATATCTGTTGCTACATAACTAATAGATCTGCAACAATATTACATCTTTCCTGGCATTATCACTATATAATAAAATGAAGTCAACTGATAGGGGATGTCCTTCTGTATTCTGCCAATCATGTTTTAAATAAACACTGATTGGTCAGTAGCCATGCAGGAAGTATACATGGGACAACCAGACAGGAAGTAGAGGCGGGCAATAAGAACAGGAGTATTCTGGGAAGAAGAAAGCTCTTTCTGCAGTTCTCCCCAGACACCAAAGAAGCAGGATGTGACCTGCCCCACTGAAAAAGGTACCAAGCCACGTGGCTGACATAGATTAAAAACAATGGGTTAATATAAGTTATACGAGCTAATACAAAGCCTGAGCTAATGGGCCAATCAGTTTATAACTTATGTAGACCTCCTGTCTGATTCTTTGGGACCTAATGACTGTGAGAACCGGGCAGGATAGAAACCCTAACAAGCAGGACTACATGTTACACTTCTGATTATATGTGTTGCTTTTATTAGTTAATGAAAAAAGCTGTTTTCATCAATGGCTTAGCAGAGTAAAGCCAGGTGGGAAATCCGAGCAAAGAAACAGAGAAATGGAAGGCAGATTCAAGTCAGGTGCCAGCCAGTCACCGAGAAAATGAGGTAATGCTGCATCACAGCACTGGACTGAGCTCCCTAAGTCCAGTTCAAGTGCGGGAGGAGTGAGAATAGAAGCAAAGCAAGATCATGATAGGTACAACCACTCAAACAGTTTGCATGAGCTAATGAGAGCTCACCAACTCCAGTTGGACAGGAAAGGAAACAGCATAGGTCCAAACTAGTCCCTCTGAATGTGGGTGTCAGTTGTATGGCTGGGGCAGACTGTGGGGCCACTGGCAGTGGCACCAGGATTTATCCCTACTGCTTATATTGGCTTTTTGGGAACCCATTCTCTTTGGATGGATACCTTGCTTAACCTGGATATAGTGGGGAGGACCTTGGATCTTCCCCAAAGCAAAGTGCCTTACCCTCTCTGGGGGATGTGTGTGTGTGTGTGTGGGGGGAATAGTTGGAGGGAATGGGAGAAGGGGATGGAATTGGAACTGGGATTGGTATGTAAAATGAAAAAGGATAAGTTCTGTCTTTTAAAAAATAAATATAAATAACAATTTTAAAAAGAAAGAAAGAAAAGGAAGAAAGCAAATGACATAACGCCACAGCCACACGGCAATACATGGGCTAATAGAAATGGGTTAATTTAAGATGCAAGAGCTAGCTAGGAATATGCCTGAGACATAATCTAGCCAAACAGTGTTGTAATTAATACAGCTTCTGTACGACTATTCGGGTCTGGGTGGCCAAGAAACCAAAGTGCAGTCTCTGTCTACAAACAACCCCAACCACTTAGCAGCAGATGGTTAAGCTGCCTGGCTTCTATAAGCTTTTACTTATAACAGTCTTACAAAAAAAAAAATCAATACAGCAAATCTCTACTGATATAAAGAAAGATTTTTTGTGACTTGTTTAAACTGTCATGTGTAGTACTCACTCCTAGCTGATTATCAAGACTCAGTACCTCATCCTCCACGTACTATGATAAACAGGTCTGTTTTATAAAATTCATCAATGTTTGAATGCATATTCTATTGCATGAAGAAAAAGGCAGTAAGACACACACATTCCTACCTTTAAAACTGTCTCATTGGTCAATAGTGCAACTTGCTTTTCTGAAGCTTGTTTTTCCACGTACCTAAAATTTTTATCATCCCATACAGAAAAAGGGGAATATTAAGCAATTTACATATTTGAATAGCATGTTGGAAAAATAACTACCCAGAATGGTTTCCCTGTTTTTTACATTTCTTTTCAAAAATAAATTCAAGACAACAGTTTGTAATTACCTTAATGATAATTAATGAAGTCATAAAGGTAATATAACTCAGAAATAGGAAATGTCATTTCTAAAAGATAACTCTAGAGAACTTACAAATTATGTAAAATATTACTAAAAAATCTTTTTTATGTTAAAATTTTAAATCCAACAAAGAAACTCCATCACTAAAAGCAGAGTGGTTCTACACTGCAAAATAAACTAGCATTCCATTCCTTAATCCAAAGCCAACTGAAGCTAGCATTTTTCATTTCATCCTAGTATTTAGTATAAATACATTAAAAATGGATTCATCTTTTTACCTCCTAAATGATGGAAGGCGCCGGATGTTTTCACATTGATTAACTGAGAAAAATTTTACTCTTTTCTTGGCTTCTTGGAGATCACAGCACAGAACACTCAGGGGTTGCAAATAAAAATGTTCTAGTAGAGAAAGCTGAAAGAAATAATATTTTTTTATAGTTCGGTAGTAAACATTTTGCCCTTTACCTGCTTAATTTTAACTCTTTTAAAAGCAAAAGTATATATGGTTGGAGATGGGAAGATGGCTCAGTAATTAGAAGCATTTGTTGCTCTTGGAGATAAGAGGTTGGGTTCCGAGTAACTAGAAGCCAGTGACCATTTGTAACTTCAGCTCCTGAGAACTGGACACTTTCTTCTGGCCTTCAAGGCACTGGACATGTGAGACACTAACAGACTTGTAGGACAAATACCAACACACAAAAATAAAAATAAGTATTAAAGCAATTATGTTACAGTAACACTGCAACAGTACCTTTCAAGACTAAAATTCTGTGTACAAGGTCAGAAAAAGTAATCTCAGAAATACATACTAAAAGAAAACAAAGCAAATAGATGAATACATTAGTGCAAAAACTAGTTAAAATTATTGCAAGAATTATATGGATGGGACTATTATATGATCGAAAGATCTAATAGACACTCAGAAGACATCACCCCAAATTATACTATCTGATCTCTCTGTTCAAATAAATACAATGCTATACCTACTGATAAGAGTAACAAAATTCTGTACCTTCAAATTCAGTTTTAACCCATTTTAAAAAAAGTATACTCACTAGTAAAGAACTCAAATAATAGACTGCTACTGTCTCCATAGGGATGACTTCTAAATTCTATAGTGATTTAATAAGATTATCATTTTTTTTCTGATTTTAAGCAACGTTCTCAGGAACAATTTTGTTTATTCAGATTACCTTGTATCCCATTCTGTTTTTTGTAGCTATAATAAAGATCATGACCAAAAGCAATTTAGGAAAGAAAACAAAGGGTTTATTTGGCTTAAATATTCCAACCACAGGCTGGGTGACGGTGGCACACACCTTTAATCCCAGCACTTGGTAGGCAGAGACAGGTGGATCTCTGTGAGTCTGAGGTCAGCCTGGATTACAAAGCGAGTTCCAAGACAGTCAGGACTGTTTACAGAGAAAAATCAACCAACCAACCAAACAACCACAACAAAACAAAAACCAACCACAGAGCATTATTGAGGGAAGTAAGAGCAGTAATTCTCATAAGTAGAGATGGAACCACGGAGAAATGGGGTTTACAGGCTTGCCTGGGCTTCCTTCCATTCAGCAACTTTTCTTATACCGAACCCCAGGATGAGCTGCCCAGAAGTGGCACCACCCACAGTAGGCTGTACTTTCTCACATTAATCAACTATCAAGAAAATACCACTACGACATAGCCAGTGTGGTAGAGGGAGTTCTTCAGTTGAGGTTCTTTCTTCCCAGGGGAACTTTATACATCAAATTGACAAAAAACAACACACCTTATTACTGGACTGATAGGTCTTTAGAAAATAGCATTCCCCAAAGGAAGTTAATGATTTAACATGTCCTTATATTTACAAATTTTAAAATATTTGGTTGGCTACAGGATTGCTGTGATGTTTTCTCTATCCTGAGTCTCTGTAGAACTGTTACACAACATGACGTCACCTGTCAAATGGCTCTTCTGTGCCTACTAAGATAGTCACATGATTCCTGCCTGGCCCACTATGTGCCACACTGCATGCGCTGTATTGTATATTACCCTACGCTTGCACCCTCGGGATGAAGCCAACTTCATCAGGGTATGAGGATCTTTGTTTTGATCAATTTGGTTTGCAAGTATTTTACTGATAATCTAAATCTATACTAATCAAAGAAATTAATATGTAGTTTTTTGATGTTATAATTGAGTACTTACCTGGTTTCAGTTTCAGGGTTATACTACCTTTACTTAAAGATTCTGAAAATACCCTCTTCTATTTTATGGAGTGATTTGAGGAACAGTGGTATTAGTTATTCTTAAAATAACAGAAGATCTGGTAGATCTCACTGGTCCTGGCCTTTCCTTTGTTGTTAAATTATTACTCTTGGCTTACTTTTGGTAACTAATATGTGTTTCTAGAAATTCATCCCTTTTGTCTCTTCTATTTTCACGTTCCTTGGAACAAAGTTTTTACAATTTTTCCCTAATTATTTCAGTGGTATGCATTATCATATTTATTTTTCATCGCTAATTAACTCGGGGTCTTTTTTGAGGTGGTTAGCTTGGCTTTGGGTTTATTGGTCTTGTTTTTGCTTCTTCATTGTGGTTTGAAAAGGTATGGCCACCATAGACTCATGTGTTTGAATGCTTGGCTCATAAGGAGTGGCACTATTAGGAGGTGTGGCCTTGCTGGAAGAAGTATGTCACTATGGGGGCGGGCTCTGAAGTCTCATATGCTCAAGCTATGCTCAGTGTGGCACAGTCTCCTGCTGCCTGAGGATCAAGACGTAGACCTCTCAGTTCCTTCTCCAGCACCATGTCTATGTGCATGCTGCACTGTTTCCAGCCATGATGATAAGAGACTAAACCTCTGAAGCTGTAAGCCAGCCCCAATTAAATGTTTTTCTTTATAAGAGCTGTCATGGCCATGGTGTCTCTTCACAGCGATATAACCCTAATGAAGACATCCATGCAGTTTCTACTCTCCACTTCATTCTTCTCTGCTCTGAACCTTACTACCTCTTTCAGTATAGTGATTTAAAACTTAAATTATTTTTGTTTTCCTTCAATAAACCTCAAAGTATGTTTTTGTCACAGCATTGCTTACTCAAAACATTAAATGTGGGTTTACTTTCCTGCCTCCTTGCCGGACAATTAACAATTTGAAGACAGATTTCTTTTCTCTCTTTATATTTAGGGTTCAGCACAGTGCCTTCCTTGCTGTAAGTACCCAGTATTTCATAAATAAACAAAATGAATGGCAGAACAAATTTTAGAGGTCATTCTCTCGTTTAATTCCATAAATTAATAAGGTAAATGCTGTCTTGATTTTAAATTATTTTTTAAAAAGCCAGTGAACAAAAAATGGTAAATATCAGCCTATAAAATAACTATGATTATGTACAGAAAGAATATGTGTGAAAAAATAACTTAAGGCCAGGAGGTGGTGGCCCATGCCTTTAATCCCAGAACTCAGCAGGCAAAGGCAGGTGGATATCTGAGTTTGAGGTCAATCTAGCCTATTCAGAGAGTTCAAGGACAGCTAGAAATACACAGAGAAACACTGTCTCAAAAAATAAAACAATAAAAACTTAAGAGTTTCTAAGTTTCTAAGGATAAAAAGATGAAGATTTTCATATTAGACTTTTCCAATAAAGGTTATAATATACAGGCCTTAATGAAATTGCTAACTGGCATGTACCCACAATGACTACACTTTGACAACTTAGGTAGTTACCAAGAAAAGTAATTCATATTAACTTTTAAACAACTGAAAAATAAGGTCCTTTATAGGTTAAAACCAATGTTATTAAGTTCAAGAATCAGCTTACACAATTCATATGACTCTAATGAGCATGCATTCACAATGCATAAAAATAAATATTAACACACATTTGTACTGACTAACAAAATATAGCACATCACTTATTTTCATATAACCAAAAAAATGTGGTTTTACAGTTTGAAAAATGTCAGTAGCAAAGGCCACAAAAACACAGAGAATAAAGCTGAAGACATTCATTCTCTGGCTCAGCACAGAAGTTTGTTGGTCCCTAATAAGTGGCATTCCTTAGGTGAGAAGCCTGTAAAATTCCATCAAGTTCTAAGCAAAAATAAATCCTTCCCCTCTAGACCAACCCTCAATGGTTAAGACTCTCTAATGGGAAGAGCTCTTTTCCATTACTGATAACATAATGTTATCTTCTAGAGGTGACTGCAAGGTAAGAAAGGAATTGTGGGCCCTAGAATTTATTCTTTTTAGATCTTACTATTAAAATGTCTTAATCATTAAGCTAGTCAATTGGAAATAATGTAAACTATACGCAGATGGTGAACTTTCAAACTCCTCAGTATTTTCTTACCTTAAGTCCTTTGATGAAGTTTCGAATGGAGAAATCATGATATAAAAAGATGTTGGTCAGAACCTGTAACGCCTTTTTACTTATTTTAAAAGGAAATTGAGCTGTAAGAAGCAGCTGAAAGAGACAGAAGGGTCCTTAGTCTTCACTTATCATGAACATGAAGGATAAATAGCAAGACACAACAAATATGAAAGCAATAGTAGCTATCTATACTGTTTCTTTTTAAACTCAAACAAACATCAAACAAATAGTAAACTTTACTTACTTAAGAGTGAAAACACCAAAAAGCAATTTGCATTACAATTCCAGTGTGAGTGGAAGATGGTCTTACCAGGCAGCCCTGGCTGTCCTGAATTTGCTATGTCTACCAGGTTGGCAAAACAATAAAAGAATAAAACCCACAGAGCTCTGCCTGCTCTTCCTCCCAAGTGCCGCCATTCCCATGCTCAAACTACATTCTAAACCAAAGATGTCTGCCAGCATCCACTAAATCCCTGATCTTCAAGTAATGCACACTAGCAGTATAACCTCTTTTCTCATACCAGAAGATTAAAAAATGATGCACTTTTCTGCTATCAAATAAATCTTCTCTCCCTTCTGATCCAAACTAGTGAAGAGCAGTAAGCTATTTAGTACTGAATGAGAACATATGAAGAACAAATATTATTTTTCTTTTTGAAAATACAGAGCAACTTGCATTACTTGGTTAGTTTTCAATGAGCTATAGTGATTCTTTACATTTGAAAATCAAACCTTATACTAGAATTTTTTAATAAAAGTATATTTGCACAAGGACAATTACATTTGGTTACAATTAGTCAATTGTAAACTGAAGTAATTTTTTCTAATGTGTCAATAAATCAGAATGCTATCTGTTGTGAACGGATGTGTAGAAGTGGTTAGTAAAGGACCACACAGGTTGTCATTTTCACCCTACACAACCATCATGAAACACATCTTTTTTCTTTTTTTCAGTTTTCAAAGACACATCTTATTGGAATCTAGGATGAATCTGTGGCAGTCAATAATAAAGAACCATACTGCTATTTACACAGAAATGTTATTGCAGTTAAAGTCTAAGTTTAGCAGCTGTTGGTAAGAACAATGTGACAGTTGTCATATTCCACAAAACAGCTTTAGGGCTGGAGAGAGGGCTGCTCTTCCAGAGACCCACACTGGAGCTCATGAGCATCCGTCACTCCAACACCCTCTTCTGACCTCAAAAGGCACTGCATCTGTGTGGTGCACTTACATCTATGCGGACAAAACACTCATACAGATAAAAGTAACTCTTAAAAGACTTAAACCATTTTATATAAAATATAAGCTCAAATAGTCTGGTAATGGTCTGGAGTCCATAAATTCTGTAAAATTTTACTTATTACTTTTACAACTCAAATCCAGGGCTTGCCTTCTATACTGCCAGACAAGTGGTTGTTAGTGGGCTGTATCTCTAGATCTCTAAATTAATTTTAAAAGCCTAATCTTTTCAACTAAGTAATGAAAGCAAGAATGAATATAGCTGGGTGGTGGTGGTGCATGCCTTTAAACCCAGCACTTAGGAGGCAGAGGCAGGCAGATCTCTCTGTCTAAGTTCAAGGCCAGCCTGGTCTACAAGAGCTAGTTCCAGGACAGACTCCCAAAGCTACAGAGAAACCCTGTCTTGAAAAACCAAAAGGAATGAATATATACATAAAATCACTTTCATAAAGCTTTTTTTTTATTTGAGAGGCAATTTTAAACAAAGAGAGACTATTCAAGAATAAACAATTTAATAAAAGTATTAAAAAATATGCAATAAGTTGAATAAAATCTGAGAGACACATGATTTATTGGTATCACTTCTTATAGACAATGGATGTCTGGTAGTGTGTGTTTCACTCCATGGCACTGGTGGTAAGCATATTTCCTTTTTACCTTATCAAGAATCACTGTCAGGTGCTCCTTGGAAGGCAGAGACTGGAACAGCTCTATGCACAGCAGAGATGACACTGCATGAGGAAGCAGTCGATGGATAATAACCGGAGAAGTGGCGATTCCAAAAATGAGAACTAGTGGAAATTCATGCAGATGCTGACTGGTTTTTAAAAAAAGATACAAAAGCCTCTTCAGCAAATGTCTTTCAATATTTACACTTCAAAATGATTATTTTAAGACATTCTTATTAAGTTTTCTAGGTCATTCATTTGCTTTTTAAAGTAAATAATAAAGTGGCCACCTTCCAGATTCTAACTCTGCAATCAATCCTTACGTATCCTTTTCTTTTATCAACAAGGACACAGAGATCCCTGAGACAACCAAAGTTCTGTAACAATGTGTCAATATCACTTAATATACTCTTACTAACTTTGAGACTCACCTAGTCTTCCTCACATCAATCTCTCCTTCCTTTTCACACATACATAGCTTTACACATATGTAAGTAATCTTTTCAATGGACATCATTCAAAAGAGTCATATCCCTTCCATATATTTCTGTCCGAAATATCTGGAATGTGATTTCATATCAGCACAGCTAAGACAGAACAAACAGCATCCATGCAGGGGAACAGCACTATTGATGAGGGGCTCTGCAGATCACATCTCTCTGCACTCTCCTCCTTCCTACTGTTTTCCAATAAGGGCTGCAGGCCGTTCTTTCTCCATTCACAGGAATTAAGTACAGCACTCTCTTGAGTCTATTCTATGTTCTTTACTTTTGAGTCCACAGCAATATCAAATCCAAGTTAAACACTGTTACACATCACATTGCACATCTGCATAGAATGTTACAAAGTTTAAAAAATGTCTCAAAACATTAACCCAAGAAACATACTTCAACAGTAGAGAATTTGCTTAGGCATGCATGAAGTCTTGGGTTTTATCCCCAGCCTGGTGGTGGTGGTGGTGGGGTGATCGAGGGGATAGCCGACTATATCTACAACTCATTATTCAATGAGACAAAATCCTAATAAAACTACACTCAAAGATTGACTTTTTAGTATGTTAGCTGACATACAGAATATGCATGACAAAGTTAATTATATTCTAACAAACATACAATGGGAACAAATGTCATGGGAGTTTAAAATAGGGTTAGTTACTTCAATTTTAAGTCTCACAAGATTGCCTTAAAATATGACATTTAAAAAAAAATCTCACTGCAAATATACTGAAGATACTTTCATAATGAAAACAGTTAAGGAGATAATATTTGTAAGAAGAATGATATTTTACACCTATTTACCGAGTTAACTAATAACAGGTGAAATCTGTCTGGTCAACCCTATGTCAAAAGCCAAGAAAATAATTTGCTAGGCAGTCTTTGAACATTTACTTTTGGGAAAAAAAAAATCTAAAATAGTTTTGAATTTCATTAAGTTGGTCTTAAAATTAATTCTATGCTTTTTAAGTTAAAAGTATTGTTGTCTTACCAAAAAGGAAATTTTACACAGAAAGTCAAGTAACTGGATGTGAAGAGTTTAAAGGGATGGGAACAGGAAGAAGGAGAGAAAGCTAAAGGGAAGCGAAACCAGATACACAACATGCCTTATGGAAATCTGCTACTTTGCATGCACTGGAAAATAAAACAAGGACCAGTGATATGGCTCAGCGAGTAAAAGCACACCTGGCGACCCAAGTGAGCACAGGAGAACCCGTTCACAGCTGTCTAACCTCCACACATGCACATCACACTTAGATACACACAGCAGTAATAAATGAAAATACGAAAGTCAAGCAGTGCATCCTCTACCTGCTGATAATTATGAAGTCCTGGAGGACTTTCGTGCTGAAGCTCTCCATGTTCTTCAGGATAAGCACAACAGGAGGACACTGCCACTGGCTACAAGTCGTCCTCTTTTTGCTTGTCAGTTTGGGGCCTGTCGTCTAAGCCGTTGTGGAATGGAGGAGTTAAATTGTCAAACAATACCATAATGACACTTGTTAATGTATATTTATTAATTATACATTATAGTATATATTAATGTATTCTTTCTATATTTCACAATAACTTTTTATTTTCCCAAATAAATAAACAGTATCTCATTCTAACAGTTACCAGCAGAATCTGTTTGTAGACCTGGTAACAGTAAGAAAAAGGTTCACTAAGACCCATAACACATAGGAGACAGATTTTCTGCTGAAAAACATAGGAAAAAGAAACTTTACAATTGATTTCTTTTTCAGTTGATACATGGGTTTGCTTTGTTATCACTGTAAATGCACAATAAATGCAGTATTATAAACTTTAAACCTTGAAATGGACACTAAATATTTGGTCAAACCAAATTAAAGACACTGGAATTAAATTGCCACGACTTTGATTTCTGAAAATATCTAAAAATTTGGATCAAATTAAGGTATTACCATAAGCATTCTTATATAAAACGCAATGAGATTTCATGTATGACTTCAGCAAAACACACTAGAAAATTCACCCCAGCACTTTTACTTAAACTATCTGGTTAACTACACAGCACCCAGGAACCATCCAATAAAGACGCTCACAGTAGAATGACATTATACTTTGTTGAACATACGTTATTTATTGCATTGTTTTGTTCAATAACCTTCTTTATACAGTAATGTTTCCCAAGAATTCTAAACATGGAACAAACTAAAATTTAAAAATTACAGAATTACTCGTCAAAAACTAAATTGACAGCAGGAATAGGTGACATGTGTCTACGAAACAAAAGCAAATACTGAAGGTATTATAACGCAGGTAATATAAGGAAGTTACAGCCATTATTGCAGAAATAGAATTTCCAACAGGACCAACTTTTGATGTTTTCTTTTTGCCATTTCATGGACTTCTCCAACAAATATAATGTCTTCTAAGAATCAAAGCACTTACTAGTAATTAATCTACATACTAGAAGAATACTTTCAAATTCTAGTAGCTTCAGAAAAAAATAGCTACCACAAAACTGTTATTATTGCTTTACAAACTTGTTTATTAGAAAAATGAGATATAACTAAAATAATCTTGAGTCAGCCTTCTGAACATTCATTTCCGTTACCTGTGTGGCAGTCATGTACCAGCTGGAAAGTGAGTCCATTGAATAGTTTGTCGTTTTGGAGGTCTTAACACTTTTCATCTCTTTGGATTTTTCATCTACACAGCAGTTCATCAACTGTGAGGTCAACTTTTGTAAAAAATGTTTCACATCTGCAGAATATAAAAAGCAAGAAGACTTATCCACAGAAACCTTCACTAAGCAGATTGCATTATTTGAGTGGAATATACTTTTTCTATATTTCATCAATATAGCTATCATGTGCTAAATACATTATTGTTACTCTTTAGTACCATTCCCTTAATATTTAAATTTCATCCAGTGTTGGACAGATTCAGTTGGTACTATACTTGTCTAGCATGCACAAAACCCTGGAGCTGATTGGCAGTTCTAAATAAGAATGATGTGGTCAAGCATGCCTGAAATTCCTGGCCTTGGGAGAAGAGGGGGGAAAATCATAAGTTCAAGGTCATCTTCTGCTATATAGTAAATTCAATGAAAGCCTGGGTTATATGAAACCCTGTCTAAGTAAGATGAATAAATATATTTCATTAGTTCAGACTAAGATCAGATCAAAATTTATATGTATTATCTACAAGTATCATCTAAGCAAATGTGTAAGCATAAAATTATAAAACATTTTTAGAATATCATGTATTTATCCTTAAAATCAAGAATTATTTTATTGATTATAAATCTTGATTTACATGCATTTTAAAAAGACATCCTTAAAGGACTATAATTCTAATTTAGTACATTAAATCTGTTATCAGTCCAGATGCAAACAAATCTGAGTATGATAGTGTGTGCTCTTCATGATTTAATGGCTTTACAAACTCAAGTCTGGCTCTGCCTATAACTATTTTTTTTATCCACCGATGGCCTTTTCAAGTGGAAAACTAAATTGACTATGGCAATGAGTGAGACATGCACAGAGTGGAGGCAGGCAGAGTAGGTAAGCACTACAACAACTCACCAAAATAAACACGCCATTTATATTTTACCTGGACAATCCTTAGCTTGCAATGAGACTACATATGGTGTGACATTATTCTGAAGAGTCTCTGTTAGACTTCTGAATATTAAATCATGATCTGTGACATTCACACCTATGAGAAAAAAACATCATGTCATCATCTTTATTAATAATTTAACAAAGGGTATTTTTAAAAATTAAGTAAAGCATCAAATAAAAACAATTTAAAAATATGATTTTCAATAGAAATTTAGAAATTTGCAACATGATTGACTCTACTCATAGAACACGAGCTAAAGGAAATGTTTATTCCTGAACAGCCCAGGTCCAGGTGGTGAAGGCGCAGGTCTCAACACAGCTCCTACTGCGAGATGGGAAACCTACTGGAGGAAGTTTGGCTGCTGTCTATCCCTGCCTCTAGAGGTAAAGCATTTTGTTAACCACACACTATTCCATAATGCACTATCTCAGAACATGCCCCAATGCCAGGAGCCAACTTATTTGTAGGCCCATATTTCTACATGGTATGGCGATCAGAATCTCAGGCCACAGTTTGTACCTGCTGCACATAGCACCTACAGACAGGCTGAAGCTAGGGTCAGGATATGCTATGTAGTTCTGCTCCTTCTTTGTAATTTAGAGGATGCCTGGGATAAGAGATGCTAATTCAGCCTACATGACAGAGAGGGCATAGAAAGATGTGAACTTAACTAAAGTCATTCACCTAGTTACCTAGGAAACAGATGCTAATGAATTTACCTTCAGTTTACGTTTTGGTATAAAGGCTGTTTGGAAAATAAACGCAAGGAATTTTCAGGATGTAAACTCAGGATTTCATGAGGGATCACTGAGAATCTCCCTCCTGATAAAGCCATGTGAGTTGTGTCTTTAATCCCAGGCCTCTCATCTGGTCTGGAGAAATAATTTATGGTCCGGACTGGCACCGAAACCCGACACTTACTATAAACAAAACCCTTGAAACCATGAGTCAAACATTTTCTTTCTTTAAGTTGATTATCTACCTTTTTGTCAGTATTGAAATGTTAATACAACTAATTTGTCCAGAAAGGCCTGTAGTTCAATTCTTCCTTTGAAAAGATTATTAAGCATACATAACTGACCTTGGAAAATAGCTCAGGAGCAATTTTATTGCTTTATCAAATTCACACAGAAATCATTAGTCATTTAAGTACAAGGAACTAAGCAATCTAACCCTGTTGTGACTTTACTTAAAAACTGAGGATAAAAAGATGCTACTATTATTTAAATCGCAGTAGTTAATTGAAAAGTGTAGACTAATTTCTGAGACAACTAAAACAAAATTAAAACTTTGGGTCTTTGGTATTTATCAAAGCATCTTTTCATTTTGAAAAAATCAGTTTTTGGTGCTCTCTACATAGTACGTCAGAATTGGCAGGAAATGTCTCTGCTACTTTGGAATTCATTCTATTAACTGGTACCTTCCCTAACTTAACAATTTGTAACTTACAATCCAGGGCAGTCTGTCTGAGAGAGAGAGAGAGAGAGAGAGAGAGAGAGAGAGAGAGAGAGAGAGAGAGAGAACAATTCTTTGGCATTTTGGCAGATAGCGGCACAGATACTCAACCTGCTTTAAATTTGCCAGACAAGTCATAGGATATAGAAAACAATTTCAGAATCATTCATGCCAGCAATAAAAAACCTCTTTAAAAATTCCAGAAAACAAATATATTAGCAAATTTACATTTTGCCTTTCTCTCTCTCTCTCTCTCTCTCTCTCTCTCTCTCTCTCTCTCTCTCTCACCTATCTACTTTTAGCAGGTATACTTGTTGGAATGTGAGTGGCCCTCACAGGCTCACATATCTAAATGCTTGTTCCAGCTGGTGAAACTGTTTGGGAAGGATTAGGAGGTGTGGCCTTGTTGGAGGAGGTATATCACTGGGGTGGGCTTTGAGGTGTAAAGGCCCATGCCAGACCCAGTCTCCCTCTCTCTGTCTGCAACTTGAGGATAAGATGTGAGGTTCTCAGCTACTGCTACGGCATCATGCCTGCCTGCCTGCCTGCCTGCCTGCCTGCTGCTACACTCCTTCACAATGAAGATCATGGACTCACCCTCTGAAACTGTAAGCAAGCCTCCATTTAAATGTTTTATTTTACAAGTTGCCTTGGTCAAGGTGTATACTTATGGTAATAGAACAGTGACAAAGAGGGCAGGCTATTTCTTTCTTTCCTTTTTTGGGTGGGGAGGGAGTTGAAGACAGAGTTTCCCTGTGTAATAGCCCTCGCTATCCTGAAACTTACTCTTTAGTGCAGACTGGCTTAGAGCTCACAGGGATCCGCCTGCGTTTGCATTCTGAGTGCTGGGATTAAAGGCATGTGCCACTATATCTGCTATTTCTATTAGACTATATGTAGCAAAAACAAAACAAAACAAAAAACAGGAACAGTGTCCTCAGAGTTATACTATTACTAGCACACACCAAAGTCTATGATATAAGTAACATATCTCTAAACAAAATGGAGAATTCAGTTAAAAAATGGCTTATCTTTCTCTGATTCCAAAAAATCTATTTAACATGTTTTTTAAAATAAAAGATCTTACTTCAAACAAGATAATCAACAATATCAAAGAAACAAATGATTATTTCATAGAAAATAGACATCTCTAGTTTTAATGTTATTTTTTACTTGCTTTTTAAAAAGACTTTATTCCTAATTGTGTCTATGTGTGTGTTAGTGTGAGGGTACACATTAGAATTGGCACACCTGAGTACAACTGTACTGAAGCACAGAAGAGTCAGATACCCTTGAGCTAGATTTACAGGCAGCTGTGAACTGCCCAACAAGGATACTAGGTTCCAAATTCTTGCTTTTTAAAAGAGCAGCAACTTCTTCTGGACCTTCACCAGTTTAATTGGAAAAGTATTTTCAGACTATAATTTTGCAAAATATAATTTCTATTTTCCTGTTAACAAGAAGCAGGGCAGAGTAAATTTTCACAACTTAATCAGGCCATTTCTCTAATTGTGCTTCTTCCCATTACCTCCAACTACTGGAACCTGCCAAACTGAAAGAAAGCATTACTAGTGGTGGAACATCACAGGTCCCCATTCATACTGCAAGGGGTTTTCAAACCAGATGGCATACTCTCCCCGATGACCACGGGCACAAAAATTCTCAATAAAATACTTTTAAACCAAACTCAAGAACACATCAAAAAGATCTTACAGCATAATCAAATACGTTTCATCCCAGAAATGTAGGAATGGTTCAACAGATATAAGTCAGTAAATGTAACCCACTACATAATCAGACTCAAACACAAACCATGTTTTGTTTTTAAACATGAGCATGTTATTAGATGCAGAAAAAGCCTCTGACAAAATCAAAATCCCTTTATGATAAAAGTCCTGGAAAGACTAGTGATATAGGGGAACATATTGAGATAATAAAGGTAATATGCACAACAAATCCATATTCAACACGATGTGAACAAGAGAAAAACTCAAAGCAATGCAAATCAGGAATGAAAGAAGGATGTTTACCCTCTCTGTACCTATTTCAAGTAGTGTATGAAGTCTTAGAGCAAATGACAAGTAAAGATGATAAGGGAGATATAGACAGAAAAGGAAAAAGTCAAAATATTATTACCGATGACACAACTCTCTACATGCAAGACCCTAAGGATGCTACTAGGAAATTCCAAAAGCTGATGAATACATTCAGCAAATTATCAGGATACACACAAAACTCAGCAGCCTTCCTATATATGATTAACAATCATACTGAGAAAAAAAGAATTCCATTCAAAGTAGCTTCAAAATAACTAAATAAATAACAATCTTGGTAGTAATGAACCAAGAAAGTAAGACTTGTACAATAAATATTTTAGGATACTAAAGAAATTGAAGGAGATACTAAAGAAGGAAAGACCTCCTGTGTTGACAGACTGACAGGAACAATACTGTGAAAATAGTCATCCTACCAAAACAATCTGTTGCTGGTGAACTAGATCCCTTTTTTTTCACCCTACACAAAACTCAACTCTAAATGGCTCAAGGACCTTAGGACAGACCTAATACCCAGAATCAGATAGGAGAGAAGTAACAATTGCAAGTAAAGGCACAGAAAGCAAATTCTGAACAGGACCCTAGTGCCACAGGTACTAAGACCATCATCTGAGAAACTGGACCTCATGATACAAAAAGGCTTGTATGCAGCAATGACACCATCATTCTAGTGAAGAGGCAGCTTACAGAATGGAAAAAAATTGTCATCACCTATGCATCTAACAGAGGGCTAGTAACTAGGATATACAAAGAACTAAAACTAAGCACCAAAACAAACACCCCAAAACAAAAACTGGGGAATAGAACGAAATATAGAGTTCTCAAAGTAACAAGAATAGCCAAGAAATAGTTTTTTAAAGAGTTCAACATTCTTAGCCACCAAAAAAATGCAAATTAAAACTATTTTGGAGATTTAATCTTACTCCATGCAGGATGGTTAAGATCCAAATACGATGAATGTGAGAAAGAGAAACAGTAATGCACTATTGGTGGAAGTACAAAATGGAGGCACAATGGAAATCAGTGTTGGAGGTTCCGCAACAGGCTAGAAATATTTGCCACATGTTCCATCATTATTATTCCCAAAGGACTCTGTATACAGAAACCAGTTCATCCATACTCACTGATGCTCTATTCAAAACAGCAAAGAAACAGAAAGACAATGACAATGTGGTTCATATATACAATGTAATATTATTCAACTACTTAAAAATAAAAGTATGAAATTACATGGATGAAGCTGGAAATAATAATTCTGAGTGAAGTCACCCAGACCTTGAAAGACAAATGTTTCATGTTCTCTACCATATGTGGAAGCTAACTTTGAATCTTTAGATGCGTGTGTTTAAACTGAAGTATCCTTAAAAGGCAGAAAACTAGTAAGGGGCCATAGGGTGGGGTGTTTCATGCAAAGGGGAATAAAAAGAAAAGGTTTGACTGGTGTTATAGGGATGAGGAACATTAAGGACCATGTTGAAAGAGCCAGATGGGAACGGTAGAAGCTTCCTAAAAACATTTATATGACAATGTGTTGTGAAATAATCTTTTTGTATACTGTAAATATTGTGTCACTCAGATTGGTTTAATAAAAAGTTGAATGGTCAATGCCTTGGCAGGATTTTCAAGGCAGAGAATGCTGGGAACAAGAAGGCAGAGTTGCTCGTGGGAAAACAGAGGATGCAAGACATGCAGGAGGAGAGGTAGAAGGAATGAATCATGTGGCAACATATACATGAATAGAAAAGGGTTAATTTAACTTATAAGAGCTAGTTGAAAACAAGCCTAAGCTATGGGCCGAGCTTTCATAAATAATAAGTCTACGTGCAATTATTATGGAGCTAAAAGGAGGGACAAACAAAGACTCGCTGAAACTGGCACCCAACATGAAGCCACATATACCCACTTAAAGCCTGAGAAAGCTTAAAAAAATGTTAGGAACACAGAGTCAAACGTGGCTTCTTGGTAACCTTAGTTTCTCAGGTAGGCTCAATGACAGTTGCACAGAGGCGGGGCTCTTTTAAGAGGCCCTGCTATGGAGCACTTGAATGGAGTTTATGAGCAGCAAGCAGCATGCTACATGGTAGCATGAGACTAGGTAGAAACCCTTACAGCAGGGTGGACCTAGAAATTTCCAGAGCTGAGGCAGTAAACATGGCTCCCATTGGTACTTCTGCCATAAGGCTATGCTTTCAGGGAACTGATGGGGCTCAGAGCCAAGCTGCATGGAGATTTAAGATTTTGCTCATGCAGACAGAAAAGATCACAGGTACACAGCAAAGCAGGTTCAGATAGAAAAACCAGGTTACAATGTGTTTAATAATGTGCAAAATTTCTAAACAGGTTACAATGTGTTTAATAATGTGCGAAACTTCTAAACAGGTTATAATGTGTTTAACAATGTGTGTAGGCTGAAGAAAAAAAGAAAAAAAACACTAACAAAAATAGTTTAAAAATAATAAAGTCTTTAAAGAAAGAGTAATGTAAGAGAAACAAATAAGCCACACAGAGATGGCTCATATACAGGGAGTCTAGATCCTGTATGTTACTGTGTTGTCTTTGACCTTTTTGATTGCTGATAGGCAAACAAGCAGCTGCTGGAAGACATGGGATTGTGAAAGGGAATACTGAAATAAAACAGCCTAGAAACTTTAAGAATGCCTTAACTTTAAGAAATGAAAGGCTGTGAATTCCTTAAGGTTGATAGAGTTCATATTTAATCAGGGAACACTCCCTCAAAATCCTGGCTACAGATGTAAAGAAATAAACCATATAAAGAAAAAAAAAGCCCTACAAGAAAGGTGACATATATTCTACCTGCTCAAACATCATCTTTGGTGGGTTTCTGTACAACGTATAGTCCATACTTGCTTCATAGAAGAGTCTGCCAGACATTCTGCAGGACACATAGGAAAGTGACTGAACTTTGTCAAAACAAGGTGGGACAGTCCTTGAAAATTCCCGTTTCACAGAAAAGTCTACCAGATATTCTAGGCCTGTAGGCCAAAGAAGGATGCCCCGATATTGCAGAGAAACCTTGGGGAGATTGTCTAGGCAGCCAGATGTCTCTATTGTTTCTTAATTTTGGAAGTGGCTTTGCATAGCATTTCCTGCTTACTCAGGTAATATAACCTTCTGGGCCTTTGATGGAGAAGACTAGATAGTTATACTTACAGTCTATCTTAGTTAATGGAAGATAAATTAGGCATAAAATTTCAGACTCATCAAGAGAATATAGATAATGGAGTATTTGCTCTAAGTTTGCCAAATACAAATGGACTGAACATTATAAATGTAATTCTTGCTTAATATCTGTTCTAATTTTATAGTTTCATTTGTTAAGGGTCATACCTTTCCTTTCTATTTAGACAATACCAGATTTTTTTTTTCTTACTGTATACAGTTTTACTATGTTACAGTTAAAACTTTTCCTTTTTATCTAGACAAAAAGGGAGAAATGTTGTGGAATAATATTTTTGAACACTGTGAATATGCGTCACTCAGCTTAGTTTAACTGCTGAATTGCTGAATGGTCAAGAGCTAGGCAGGATTTTAGGTGTAGAGAGAACACTGGAAAGAAGGCAGAGCTGCTGATTGGACAAGAGAAGATGCAAGACATGCAGGAGAAGTAAAAGCCATGAGCCACATCGTAAAATGTAGGTGAATAAAAATGGGTTAATTTTAAGAGCTAGCTAATAACAAGTGCAAGATATCAGCAGAGCTTTCATAATTAATAATAAGGCTCTGTGTGGTTATTTGGGAGCTGGCAGGTGAAACAGAGAAAGACTCACTACAACAGTGCCACCCTAAGACACAAGAGGCTACCAAATAAAAAGTGCCAGGAATGAATTACCTTTTTGAGTTACTGGTCAGTGGGATCCTACAGATGCCTACTCCCAAACATCACAGACTATTGTCATTGTTTGTTGTTGTCTTTCAGAACTTGAAGACCCTACTGTCGAAGACACCACATATCTAAGTATTAGGTCATAGAGAAATCAAGCTGGTATAGATCTGGATGCTTTCTCCTTATTAGCTAGCTTTTATAGGACTGAAAGACAGGCTCTATGCATGCACCAGGGGAGAAAGTCATGAATAATCTTCATGTTGGGAGCCAGGTCAATCCCAGGCTTTCTCGGAGGCTCTGCAGACAGGACAAAGGAAACACTAGTTCTGTGTCCTTGCCCAGGGACAGAGGGCCTGGAAGGAGTAAGAGTTTTGGTTCATGGGACCCTGGCTTTTCCACCCTAATGATGCTGGAGTTAACAGTTCTAAAGTCACAGAATGCTCAGTTTGAGATGCACTTGAGAGACCATGCTTTGCCTTTGAGTCACTACTTGAGTCATAGTCCTACTAACTTTATTCCATTGTATAGTAACAACCTGATGATTCTGTCCCATTTTCCCTACACTTATATAAGCTGCTGTACTCCCTAAGAGACTTGCTTGGCATAAGACATAGCTTATTCACAATCTCCTAACCCCAACTTTGCCATCTTTGTTTCTGATCACCTGATATCTGCCTGGGGAACCTGTCGCTGAAGAACTACCTACCTGATGATCACCTTCAAGGTACAATAATAACTGCCCTGGAAAGATATTCTCACTGATGTAATAGTGGCAGAAATACTATGGAAGTAACCATTTTCTGATGGATTTCAAAAGCCCACTCTATCCATCAAGTGTTGGATGAAACCAACACTTAGTATCATTAACTGATTAAAAGGACAACAAACAAACAAACAAAATCCAGTGGCCATTATGGTAGTGCTAAGAATTGAACCTAGGTCCTCTGCAAGAACAGTCAGTGTACTTAAGTGCTGAACCATATACTCAACCCATCTCAGGGTTACTCTTAAGTACATTACAATTTGTAAAATATTGTCCTTAACTTCAGGAATAGAATTTTAGTGGGGTATTAAAAGTAGTATTAAGCTGCTGGAGAGATGGCTCTGTGATCACTAGAGATCATGAGTTCAATTCCCAAAACCCACATGGTGTCTCATCTATAATGAAATCTGGTGCCCTCTTCTGGCGTGCACACAGAACACTGTATGCATAATAAATAAATCTTTTAAAAAGTTGTATTAAAAAGGCCCTAATGTTTTTGTAGCCGCAGAGCCCACTGTTAACCAACTCTAAAGAAATAACAAATGCAAGTGTGATAGCATGCTTTAATCTCAGCACTCAGGAGACAGAGTTAGGCGGACCTCTA